TGCCTTTTCTTGTTCTGGATTACCAGCTGCAATTCAAAGCTTTTCCCTGGTTTGCTCAGAATCTTTTGGCAGAGAGAACTGAGCACCCAAACCCTGCAGTTGTTGGCTGTTAAAATGTCACTGTGCTCATCCCGCCCAGCTTGTCCTTTCTACTGTGAGTGGATGCAAGTTATTTAAATATGTTTCTACATCTTGTTTCCTTGTGTACACAAACATGTTTGGGTTTATTTTTATTTTGCATAGACATTTACTCATCCATAAGTGCCAGTGTTGCAGTTACTTAACATACATTACATAGGGTGGTGTCACATTCCCTCTGGCATTTCTCAGCTCCTGTTGGGCAGCTGGGTCTGCAGTGGGGGTGGGAGGCTGAACCCCAGCAGCACCTGGGGCTGGGGGTCCGTGTGTCCTGCCAGGTGTGGAAGTGAACTGGTTTGGGATCAGAAGCAGTGGAGACTCTGGGTTAAATACAGATTGAAGTAGTGGAATTGCTGTGTCAAGGTCATTTGTCTCCTAAGAAAATTGTTGGCTGGCTGTATTTTTCCTTGTGACACGGTTTTGTTTTAATTGTGCCTCTTTAATTGTGTCAGACTAATGATGTGCAGGGTGCTCTGGTTGTGAACACCTTTCTATTTCTTCAGCTGCTGCTGCTCTGTTGCTATAAAAAGGGTGATCCCATGGTAGGCTTCCCACACTTCCAGAAAGGAGTTTAAATGTAACCATGGAAAGTTTAAATGGCTTTTTCCCCTCTCCAAATGGCTTTTCCCCTCTTGGTGTCTCCCAATGATTGATTTTTCTGGCAGAGGGGAAGGGTGAAGGGTTGGATGTTGATTTTGCAGGAGGCAATGTTATTAAACATGGTCTCTTCCCACCAGCACTAATGTGTGTGCTCTGCTTTGCTTCTCTTCCAGATATGGACGTGTCGAAAGTGTCAAAATCCTCCCTAAGAGGGGGTCGGAAGGCGGAGTGGCAGCGTTTGTGGATTTTGTGGACATCAAAAGTGCCCAGAAGGCACACAACTCTGTCAACAAAATGGGAGATAGAGACCTACGGACGGATTATAATGAGCCAGGAACCATTCCCAGTGCTGCGCGGGGATTGGATGATACAGTTTCCATAGCATCTCGTAGTAGAGAGGTTTCTGGGTTCAGAGGAGGTGGTGGGGGGCCCACTTATGGCCCCCCACCATCACTTCATGCACGGGAAGGACGTTATGAGCGAAGACTTGATGGGTAAGTTCCAAGGTTTCTCTAGGCAGGTATTTTGTATTTGATATGGTGAGAAACACAAACTCGTATCTAGGGCCCCCAGATGGATTTAAAATTTTGGGAATTATCTATGTTTCCTATTTTGGGTTGGAAACGGAAGTGATTTCTATCCCAGTGGCTGGTACCTTGTGGATCCATAGAGGATGTGTCCTGCAGCTGGTTGGATATCTACCTACACTTGAAATAAGGTGGTTTTAAGATGGAAGATTTCCTTTGGCCAGCATCGATATTGGAGTTACTCTTTTCTAGAAGTAGCGATCCCATTTCTTGGATAATATTAAGGCCTTGCTGGATGTATCCCTGCTGCCAGATGGAGCTATCTTACTCTACAACTTGTGGTGAAGTTCTCTGTGGAGTATCTTCGGAATACTAGAACCTAGAATTCGGTGAAAGCTTGATGCCTAGCTCTCAGTTCTCACTATACGCAGCGGGTATGTTAATTGGATTGTCACCACAAAATTCAGAGTAGACTTTAATGATGCAGCCCCTTGGATTCTACCGACACCTCTTAGCCATGGAAATAACGCTTGGATGGAGAAGACCGAAGGCAGCTTGTGATGGTTCCATTTTGGATCTACATCATTTCCAAGTTATTGGGATTATTCTTTCTGATGGTATTGGCAAAAAGAGATGACGGACATTACTAAATTTTGGAAATTATAGTTTATTTTTTTAAAGCTGGGATAAGAACTACTGCCTTGAATTTATTGGATGGTATACAGTCAAGACGCCAGTAGCCATGGGGAGTGGATTACTATCTAGTCTCTTAAAAAGCTCTGCTGCTCCACATTAAACATACTTTAGCTTTAAGGACGTGGTGCTAATACCCGTTTGTGGATACACCAGTGAGAAGTGACTGGGCTGGATGGTTACCAAGGCGGCCAGAGGATGCCTGCTGGCAGCAGCGTGAGGGCCCTCGGGCCTCGGGGGATCTTCTACCAGCTGCTTGATTCAGACTTAGGGCTGGAAATTAAAATTATGGATCTATTTAAGTGCCTTCTGTCTCAAGAAAGAAGTCTGGGGGTTTCAGAGTTACAGTTTCAGTCTGGGACTACTTCCGTCCAGTGGATTTTTTTTTTGTGTCTTGTCACTAAGATTTTTTTTTTTCTTGTTGGTTCATCTAAAATATCATTTGACACCCTTGCCCATTAAGAAGGTGGATTACCCCTGTAAGAGGGGCCAAAATTGGGGAAGTTATGTTCACAATTCTCTCCCTAGATTTAATTGGGAATATAGGTCGTGTTTCCACACTTGGAAAAGGTTGGTATGTCCTGCCCTGTGTATATTAGCCCCTCTCCTAACCCAAGTCAAACCCTCTCTTTCCACTAACTCCAGTAGCACTTAGTACTAATAGATAAATGAAGAAAGCACTGTAGCCAGTAGCTGTTCAGCTCTGCTTCCTCTGTCTGTCTTCTGTGTCCTTCTCATGGATAAGGATTTGTTCTTTCTGTCAGCTCTGTAGCAGTAACCTGCTAGAAAATATTGCTTTTTCTCTGACCTCATTAAATCAGCTCTCACTGATTAACACTTTGTAGGATGCTAAATGCAATCGTTTGTAAAATTGTTGATCTTGGTCCTTCAAAAGGGGGAGAAAAGAACCAAAACAGAGACACGTTTCTGTGCCAGATTCTGAAATAGCTTTCAAAATTCCATTGTTGCGAGCAAGAGGTAATGGAAATAGAAACGCAACAATGAATTTCAAGCAGATGTAGAAGATAATGACATTCTCTTGCACTGGTTAAATAATTTTTTATATATCATTTGAGAGAAAAAAATGCAGGCAAGATGTGAGGGAGCCGTATAGAAAGCTTGCTATGAGTTACAGTTTAACAACAGAGAGTGAATATATTGAGAGGATTAAGGATCTAGTGATTCATTGGAGAAGGAATGGAAGGAACTTCCTGAGATGCTAATCAAAAAAAGATTCAAATCTCATTTGCAGTTTATAAAAGATCCCTGAAATATTTCTGCCATTCGAACTAGAGCTGTGATGCAGGAGAGGAGGAGGCACAAGGCAGAATTGGGTTATCAGGATTCAGGGGACTGAAGTGACTCATAACAGATTCTAAAGGAAGAATCTGAGAGAGAAGGCTGAAAAAAAAGGTTGAAATGTCATTTGTAAGATGGATAATTAATTTTTTAATTAATTTTGGCTACCCTGACATACTTAGAATTTTAGAAGTATTTTTTAAATGTTCAAAGTAACCATTCTGAGTCTTCCATTTTGTAGATATAACTAAGATGTACCATCCTGGTACTTGTCTAAATTGGAATACTCAACTATTTGTAGTGTTCCTTTGTCTGTCAATCTCTTTATTTGAGAGATCACACTAATTCAGAACATCACCGAGCCTTTCTCAATTTAAAATGTTCAAAACACTGAAATGGACTGGACTGTAGCTGCTGGAAAGCAGCAGCTTGTGCAGATAGAAATTCCATGATTGCAGCAGTCCAAACAAAAACACTGCCTAAAAATTGGATTTCCAGTCCTTGTGTAGGGTCTTAGTATGTTCTGGGCACCTGCATCCTTGCAGTTCCAGCATTAGTAATGGAGATGTTTCTTTAGCATCCATAGCTTTTACAGTGAATGATTGTAGCAATCTGGTCAAAGCAAAAATTCCCTCTAAGAGGGTGAAATCTTTTAAAGCAGCAACAAGAAACCCCCTAATTTTCTGGGAAATCTCTATGGGTTATGCCACCCCTTTTGAAAGCAGCTTCTTACCTCTGGGTCATGCTTTGCATGGAGGCTTTCATGGCTACAGCCCAATTTGTGATGCCATTTTTGCAGAAGGATAATTACAAGAGCTCCAGTAATTACCAAATTTTGAAAAAAAAAAATTAAAGCTCTTAAGCAAAAGATTGAGAGAAAAAGAAGTTAATGATGTCCACAAACATGAAGTTTTTCTTGTTTACAGAATTTAAAAGAAAAAGAACAATTGAAATGAGAATTCTGCATGGGAAAGCAGAAATTTTTTTCCTGTGCAGGCAAGTTGCTGGTCATGAAAGCCCCATATTGTGATTAAACCAAAATGATTGCTCAGCTTGATCGTATACAAATATAACTTTGGAGTCAAGTAAAATGTTTGGAAGTTTGTCATTGTTTGCTTGATAGGTTATTGCTGGTTAGTGGAGAAGCAGTCGCAACAATAAGTCGAGTGCTGCCTTGAATGTTTGCATGATTTGCTTTTGGTTGTGCCTGCCCCTTTCTGATGCAATATTTTTCCCCCTTCCCAAATGCAGGGCTTCAGATAACAGGGAGCGTGCTTATGAACATAGTGCCTATGGACACCATGAGCGGGGGACGGGCGGATTTGATCGGACGAGACATTACGATCAGGATTACTATAGAGACCCTCGGGAGCGGACCTTACAACACGGGCTCTATTACACTTCTCGGAGCCGAAGTCCAAACCGCTTTGACGCTCACGACCCCCGATACGAACCTAGGGCCCGGGAGCAGTTTACATTGCCCAGCGTGGTACACAGGGATATCTACAGGGATGACATTACACGGGAGGTACGAGGCAGAAGGCCGGAGCGGAACTACCAGCACAGCCGGAGCCGCTCGCCGCACTCGTCGCAGTCCAGGACGCAGTCCCCGCAGCGCCTGGCCAGCCAGGCCGCCCGGCCCGCCCGCTCCCCCAGCGGCAGCGGCTCCCGCAGCAGATCCTCCAGCAGCGACTCCCTCAGCAGCAGCAGCAGTACCAGCAGCGACAGGTAGGTCTGTGTGCCGGGGGCTGTGCCGGTCGGTTCGTGAGGTGTGAGCCTGAGTTGTTCCCTGGCGAAGCTTTGGTCGCTGAGGTAGAAGTGAACTGCGGTGAAATGTCAGAAGGCTCAGTTGGCACCAAGGGTTCCGAGGGGAACGCTGGTGCTGTTCGTTGTTTGCCATGGTGGATCCATATGTAAGATGGTGGCTGGGCAGAGCAGGGATGTACAGACACAAGGCCTTGCTGCCTGTGTGCCTGGAGAATGGGGTCACTTATTTACTTCAGTGAGAGAAAAAGATTTTAAGGTCAGCTGCTTTTTACAGACCACACTTCAACATACTTTGGGAAACGATGAGTGGTATTGTTCTGGTTCTTCTTGCTCTCTGACACTGCTGACATTCACAAGGTTGATTTATCGCCTTCTCATTTCTCACCCTGCTGCCTCACAGCAAAATTCGTAGACTTGGAAAAATTAAAAGAAAATAATCCAAGTTTGCAATTCCTGGGGATGCATTTCCTTGGTTCTGCAGTAGCTCTGTGTTTGCATGGCTTTACAGAATACCTATGGGGGAGAAAAGAAGGTGGTAGAAAATCACTGATTTCTTTTAATAATTTTTAAATTCATGTTGAAGTGCCTCTCTGATATTTGGTCTTTTAAGAGTGAATTCACCCTAAGAGTGGAAGCCACAAAGCTATGGTTGCACCCATTAATGTTTTATGCTCTTTGGCGAAGGGCTCTGCTCTTCAGGAGGGTTTGCAGAGTTGGCAGCGTTTCCTTTGCATACCAGATCTTTTCTAAAACTGAAAATATTCATTGAGTAAATAAGTGTATCAGTAGAGTGTTTGTTTGATTTCGCAAAGGCCTGGAGTGACAGGACAAGGGGGAATGGCTTCCCACTGCCAGAGGGCAGGGTGAGCTGGGATGTGGGGAAGGAATTCCTCCCTGTGGAAGGTGGGCAGGCCCTGGCACAGGTGCCCAGAGCAGCTGTGGCTGCCCCTGGATCCCTGGCAGTGTCCAAGGCCAGGCTGGACAGGGCTGGAGCAGCCTGGGACAGTGGGAGGTGTCCCTGCCCATGGTAGGGGGTAGAATTAGGTGAACTCTAAGGTCCCTCCCAGCCTGTTCTAGGATTCTGTGTTTATCACTGTGAATGGAATTTTACCACTGTCAGAACTCTGTGACCAAGGGGATTATTCACACAAAGTCTTACCTTGAATGTTGAACCTTCTGGAAGGGTGAGATGGGCTGACACCCACGGAGAGTGTACAGAAGATGGGGAAATCAGTGTCTCCTCTTCTGATTGCCCCACCCCCTCATGTCTAAAGAGTCATGCAAGGATTTATTTACTTCTTTTAATTATTGTTTTCTCCTCTTGGATTTAGAAATCCAGGTCCTGTCTCAGCTGGAGAGCAGGTGAAGATTTAAGACAACTTTTAGGCTGCTTTTAAGCACTTGTTTATTTCCAACACCTCTCTCAATGAGAGCTTAATGCTTGAATAAAGACAATCCTTTGTCAAAGATTTTTCACACTTATTACAGCTCAGAAAAATCTGTGAGACTTCTAGAGGTCTCAAAAAAATCCTAGAGAAAATGGATTGAAAGGAGGGCTGGTTACATTTAAGGTTTAATAAAAAATCTTGAGCAGGGGAAGAAGAAGAAATCTCTGCTGGTGCTCCTCTGCTCCTTGTGGAATGAGAAAGGCGTCCAAGAAACTCGTAATATTTATAAAATGTCATTGTTGGGATGTCGAGGCAGGATGAAATCCTGTTCTGAATTTGAGAGGACTAAATATGATCCCACTGGAACCAAGTTTTAAGATTTAATGAGAAGAAAAGCAGTGTCTGCTGTGCTTGAGCATTTCATTTTCTTGGCAATTTCTAGTTGTAGTAATGGAAAAGTAGACGATACTCTGGGAGGAAATAAAACATTTTTTTCTTATTAATACAATAAAATCAAACTCAGTCGAGCAAGTAATAGAATCTGGTGGATTGTATATTTAATTTTGAAGGATCAGAAAAGAGTTTTAGTGTTTCTTAGCAATCAGTTAGATAATAATAAACATTTAACCCTCGCTTTACTTTGGGAAGCAAAACCCCACTTGCCTTGAAGTCTTTCAAAGCACAAGTGTTTAATTTTCAAATCAGTTGAAATTTAGCCATGTAAGTATTAAGCCACTCATACGCTGGTGAGCGAAAGCTGCCTCACCCCCTTTTCCCTGGTTTGGTGCTCCCACTTGCTGTGTGATAGATCCAGTTTCTTTTGTCTGGAGAATAATTATTGCCTGCAGTTTCCGTGGTCTTGAGGATTTTAGCAAGCTGGAGATTCTCTTAAGGCTTTTTTATAAGTGGAAATGGCCAATTTTGAGGGGCCATAGTATTATTAAGGTCTTTATGACACCTGCATTCTTCTGAAATTTAAGAACTTGGTCACTCAAGTCTTGTCCTGTTGGTCTCAGCTGGCAGAGTTGTGTTCCCTGGGGGTGTTTGGGGCACACAGGGTGTTCAGCACTGCTGGGAACTTCATGCTGGGCACTTCACAGTCCTTCAGGAACTGAGAAAAAGCAGAAAGGTGGTGAAGGAGAAGTTTGGTTTTCCTTGCTTGTGGTTTTCAAGACCTGTGTGAAGTAAATAATGCTGATTAAATGGAGCTGATTTTCCTGGACAATACTGAAGAAACACTGCTTGCTTAAAAATAATAAAAAAAAAGCCCAAAAAGCCTTTATCTCGTCAAGGTTCAGAGTTTGTTGTGTTGGATCTCCACTAAACTTTACTTTAAATTGCTATTTGGAGGCCTTTGCAGGTAATGGTGCTGCAAGGGAGTAATTTAGAAACTAAAACCAGAAAGAACACATTAAAAATAACCAGTATTCTCTGAAGCCAGGCTTTATTTGGGGTGTTTTGTGGCCTCTCAGAAGTTGCTTGCTGAGGTGAGGAAGCTGGTGGATGTGGATGGTTCCTGCATGGATTTGAGGAGGAATTTGTGTTTTGAAATCTTCTTAGTGTAAGATTGCTCATTCCCCACCCATGTAGTGGAAGGGGGTTGGTGGAATTTTTTTATCACCTTGAAAGAATAAAAAAGCCCTTGAAAATGATAATTTGCCACAACCAGAAGCTTCATTGTCTCCGTTCTGGTGATTCAGACACACACCACAAATGATACATTAGCAAACATATTTTCTGTAGTGTGTCATGGAAGAAGCTGGCTCTGGATGGAAGCTGGGTGATCCCATAGGAAGCAAACAAGGTTTTGTTTGTGCCCTGCCCAGCCTCCTGGAAACATCCCCCCTGCTTTTAGGTTTTCTCTTTTGTAGCAAAAGCTCTTTTCTAGGCTGCTTGTTGAGGTGCTCTAATGTGCTAAAAATAATTTCTGGGCTTTTAGATTGAGTTTTGTAATGTCAGATGGCCTGACACATCTCTTGCTGCTCCATGTGTTAGTGATTATTCCTGAAGCTTTGCTGCAGCAGTGTGCTGAACCAGCCGGCGCTGAGAGCAGAGCATTTCGCTCCTAAAATCCTTGTTGGGGTGGGGTTTGAATTCATTTACAGAAACCCAGGCAGAAGTGTTTGATTTCCTGTAGGTGATGTTCAGGCTGTGAAAGCGTGAACACCCCATGTGTTCCATCTGCAGATAAGCGACTTGAGGTTTCCCTTGGCCTTTAATTTATTTTTTAAGACTGTTTATTCAGTTGTCTGATGTGGGGGATGCTGGGGGATTTACCAGTTAAATGAATAATTTCCTATAATGTGTAATGTAGTCACCTTTAATTTATTTTTAAGAGTGTTTATTTGGTTGTCTCATCTCCAGGATGCTGGAGTTGGATGAATAATTACTTAGATGACTATTTCTCTATAGCTTGTAATATGAAATAGATATTGGGAAATTAAAAGAGCATTTTCAGCTTAGACACAACACTGGTTTTATATTCACCAAGATCTATGTGAGCACAGTTATTCCAGTCTTCCTGAAATCAAGAAATGGGAAGAAGTTGCACTTACAGATATTTGAAAAAGGAATTTTTTTATATAATTCTGATAGCTGTATTTAAAGTTATTGTGCCAAGCGGGCAAGGCATAAGGTAATTAGAGATTGGTTTTAATTTTAGATTTCTCTGTGATGAAATTCTTTCTGGAGCAAGGAATTACCATTGGAATGGAATATGTGTGTGTCTTAATATTGAAATAAACTGATGAAAAATACTGCCAAGAGAATTTTAATCATGGGAAAAACAGGCTCCCTGAAACCTCCTGTGTATTTTATTTAGTCAGGGACTTTCCTACCCTGTTTCAACAACTGAAGTGAAAGTAGAAAAAAGTGAGTTTTAGTTTCATTACATAATGTAAACCTTTCTCTACCATTGTCTTCATCTCCTCCTTCCCGTGTCGTTTGCTGCCAGAAGTGATGAATCACTGATTTAGCTGGGATTTGGGATTTTGAGTGGGTTTGGAGATGCCTGTGCTGAGGACAGATGAAAAATCAGGAACAATGAGGTTAAATGTAGCTGTTTAGTCTTTATTGAAACCTCTATGAGATGTCTTTTGTCAAGGTTAAATAATTCCACGTACATTTGGTACTGTAGAGATGAGCTGAAAATTTTTAATCTCTTCTGGTAGAACGACATGGCTGAGCAGGCTTGTGTTTATATGTGAGAAGAATTAGGTTAAGATTTATAAAAGAAAATTAAAGAATTTCTTAGAGTAGGAAGCCTTTTCCATTACACAAAGGCAACAGTAAATCCTGTCAAGAGTCAGGTAAAACACCTCATCCTTACCTTTTGTTCACATAAACCCATGTGCTGCTTTAATGTTCTCTCTGCGCGGCAAAATGTGAATTAGAAAAAGGAAAATTTAGAAAAAAATTCCACCTTAGATACTCGCAGATTTTTGTTAACAACTGTCGAGAGTTTTCACTTTGTTCTTCCTTGTGTTTCTGCTCGTGTCAGCCTGTGCTGCTGCTTAGCTAAATATAACCGAGACCATCCTTTAAACGTGGCTTTTTTTACCCTTGGGACTGTATCGGGTTTCTTGAGATGGACCACAGGCAGAACGTTTTCAGATGGCTTTGGAAAGATTATAATACAGAAAGCAAACCTTTATACTCGAGATATGCCGAAAAAAGACGTACCTGTGCATGTGTAACCACATAAAAAGATCCTTCTGTGGAAAAAAAATAACGTGATATATCAAAGTTCTCCTCACGGATGGCGAAGAAATGGTGCCTTGGCGCCCTTGCAGGGAGCGGCCGCAGCCCGCTTGTCCCTCAGCCTCTCGCCCCAGCTGCTGACAGCCCGCATTACCTCAGCCCTGGACTCGGCAATAATCTATTAAAAATGTGCGTTGCATAATAAGACTTTTAGCTCGCTCCGAAACCCCGCCGCTTTCTCTCGCCTCACAGCCGGCGGAGCGCGCCCGCCGCTGTAATGGCGGCGCGGCCGCGGAGTCGCCTCACCCGGCTGTTTCGGGGGGGTGGGGAGAGCGGGTGTTTCTGAGGGAAAAGCGGGTGTTTCTGAGGGAGAAGCGGGTGTTTTGTGGGGTGAAAGCGGGTGTTTCTGAAGGAATAAGCGGGGGCCCGCCGCCGCGGTGCCCCGGCGGGCGGGGGGCGGTTGTTTGCGCTGAGAACCGGTCTGAGCCGGCGGGAGCCGGCCGGGGCTGCCGCGCCGCCCCCGGGGCGGGGCCGCCCGAGCCCCGCGGATAAACACCGCCATTGCCACCAAAAAAAAAAAAAAAGCCTTTTAAATGAAAAAACATATATAGAATCCCTCCCCCACCTTAGCACTGGAGCAGCTCTCGCTCCTGAGTGAAGGTTTTCCCCTCACACAGCGCAGAGAATGAAGTAGCAGCGCCTGTCAGAGCCGGCTCTGAGGGGGGTAAACTACCCTCTCAACCTATTTTAGGTTGTTTATTTATTTGTTTTAAACCTTAAATGCTCTGTTTGCTCTAGAAGTTAAGCACTGGTTTCCTCGCTGGAGGAATCAGCCCCAAAAATCCCCCAAAAGGGCGATTTTGTAGCCTGCCCCAACATCCTAATACCAGCTCTACCGTGATTTGACACAGTTTCAAAATGAAATAGAAATTCTGTCTTTGTTGGCCCCTCTGGGAGAACCCATCCACCCCCTCCCCTATATAAATAGACAATAAAATACTTTAAAATGTTATCATGAAGACAGGTTTTAATTTATCTTTTTTTATTTAGTATTAAATTTTCTTGGCATGAGCTGCCCAAAAAGAGTGGACATTTGACTGCAATTAATACCCCCCACCACCCGCACTCCCAGTAATAGTTGGTAATTGCTGGCTCTAAATGACAAAGCAATTAAGCCTCTTCCTAAATGTGCAGAAGTAGGTGTTTATCTAAATCTGGGCTGTCAGCCTTTGTTTCTGTGTCAGGGCCCAGAAACTCAACTGCTGCTTTCTCAAAGTGCATTTGATTCTTTACAAGCAGAGGAAAAAAAAATCTTTTTTCAAATTAATTTCAGGAAAGGAGTCTTAAAAATATATTACGTTGTGGATGGGTGAAGCGAAAATTGCTCTAGAAAAATATTTCTGTTTTATTACTGTGATAACTATTGTGATGATTTCAAATGACTTTATTGTTGTTAAAGAGATTATTGTTATTTCAGTGCTTTAAAGGTTTCTTGCAATGAGATTAGAATCTTTGCTGGAGAATATGAGGATTTGTGGCAGCTGATTCCAGACCCTCCAGTGAACTTGCCTTTTCCTCAGCTGGGGGAGAAAGATCTGGGTGTGTGGAAGGATGTGTGTTAAAAATTATATTTTTTAAGTCACCCCTGGGCAGCTGTAGGTGTGGGGGAGCCAGTGTCTGGTGTGAGAATTTGCAATTTCATGTCTTCCTAACCTCCTTTTTTAGGAATAGTGGGAAAACCTGAGCTATGTGGACAGCACTGCTCCCACCAGCGTTGTGGGAGACTTTGGGCTGTTCCTTAAGTCCGTGGGAGCTGCTAAAAATTGCTCTTTTCCCAAAGGTCAGGTGCTGTTGGATTGGGTTTGACTTTGGGGTTGTGTGTGTGCGTATTAACAAAATGGTCACTTCTAATTGCATTTTTAAGGCTTTGATTTCCTTCCAAGTATTTTGCTTAATCATCTTGAGTAGGCTGAGGGAAGGAAAGAATTAGCTGAGGTCAGGGAAGTTGAAGCTGCCCGTGTTACTGCTCAGAAGCCAGGCTTAGTCTGAGGGATCCTGGAGGCAGGAAGAGAAATGTGTTCTCTTCCTGCTGCACGCTGGGAGAGCAAGGGGAAACCAGCCCCGAGAAAGCCAAGGAAAACAGGGAAACGTGTGGTGCCGTGGGCTGTGGTGGCTGCCTCCCTCTGCACGAGCGGTCCAGATTCGCCTTTCTTTGGGAGACACACAGCTCGGATGTGAATCATGGCTAAAATAGATGAGAGGATGGTAGTCTGGAAGTGCTTATCTGCAGTCGTGGTGGAGTCAGACAGCTCAGATGGAGACACAGGCACCGCAGGCACCAGAGGTGGGGGAGAGCATCCCTGTCACACAGACCTTTGCAATAAAGGACAGTTTAATAATTTCTGATAAATATGTACATGGAGGGATGAATAGCAGAAGAGGAAGGCTGTATTGAATGCTTCTTGAAAAAATACCAGTCATTGAAGTGATCAAAGGAAAAATCCAGCCACTGCCTGTGCTCAGCCATACGTGTTCCAATTAAAGCCTAGACACCGGGTCCCTTTGGACTTGCAAATACAGTGATTTGTTGGTTTTTGTTTTGGTTTTTTTTTCCCCAAAGAGGATGTTTCTGGCTCTGCCAGAGGCATGGATGCAGAAGGAGAACCTTCCCCATAAAACCTGAGGGCTGGGAGAACAGGTCTCCTCAAGGCGTAGCAATGCGACTTGGGCGTTAACTTTACAAACAATCTCGGGTGGAACATGCTGTACTTAAATAAGGTCACAGGGATGGGAATTAATAGTAAATAAGCCTCATTGGGGAAAAAATAAAAAATAGTATCACCCCCTGATCTTTGCCCATTGAATTAACCGTGTACCTGATGTGCTTAGCTTTGCCCTCATCATCGAGCGCAGTCTGGCTGTGATGTCGCCAGTGCCGAAACCACTAATGATGGCATCAAGGGTTTAAGTGCAAAAGCTTCTTAGCAGGAGATTAGGGATCCCACTGCAGATCCTTGCGGTCAGCTCCTAATGCTGCTCGGAGAGGAGAAGGCAGCATGGCTCTTGAGTGGAAAATCACAGGCTTGGGAGAGAGGTGAGGGCTTCAGTGTGTTCTGTAGAAGAGAAAAAATTTATATGTGTTGGGATGTGGTCCACGTTTTGTTTAAATCTTGAAGGGAAACTGAGTTTCCAAAAGGAGGAGCAGGGAGACATGCACTGTGTAGGTGTCATGTGAATAAAGTCTTTGCATGATTATTCATTAAGTGCCTAATATAAGAACAAAAATAGCTTTGGCATTAAGAAACAGGACTTCGCTGTGATCCCTCCTCACAAGGGGCCCATAACAAAGGTAGGGGACCTGTTCCTTTGTTTCCTGGTCCTTCCAGCCGTGAGTGCACTCTGCTGTCTGGAGAAGTGAGACGTGGAGTCTTTTAATTCCTTCTCTTTGAGAAGTGTCTGGGCTTCAGTGCTCAGTTGCTTTATTTAGCTCAAAGCGATGGTTGTGGCTAGAAGACACTTGGAAATCCAGGATGGCAGGAAAAGTACCTCTTAGAGATTCCTTTCTATGAGAGGGAAGTGGTTTTCAGGCCTGTATCCTCATTTCTTCATGGTTGTGGGGTGTTCTCTGCAGATGTCCAGAAATAATTGGTTTTATACCTGGGCAAAAATACGAGAACCTCGTCAAACAGTTTAAAAATCCAGAATAATTAAGATACATCTCCAGCAGATCCCGGCTCTAAGGGCATTCACGTATTTATTATCTTTCATCCGTTAGAGAGCAGAGAGCTATTCTGGCATGATAACGCGTGAAAGAAAGGCACTGTTCTCCTCCTGAAAGTGAATTCCCAAGAATGCCCGGCCTCAGGTCCCTGTGGACAAAAGGTGCCGCGCTGGGCTGAGTGAGATGCAGAGTGTCCTACTTACCGTGGCTGCTACAGGTCTGACCTCCTTGGATCATCTGACACCTCGTTGGGTAAGAGGTTGCTGCAAGATCTCAAACCCTCAAATTATGTAAGATTTACACACTTGCTTTGAAGTTGGTCCCTCCCTTCCATGTTTGTTTACTGGCTGGTGTGTCCTGTTGGATTGTGAAGGATGAATAGTCACAGAAAGGAAGCTGTCGGGTTAGTACAGATTTTCTATTCCTCTTCGTTTTCTAAACGCGCGTGGAGCTGTGCTTATCCTGGTTCTGGAGTCTGGGAATACGCCGAGGACATCCTGCACAGGTCGGGGCTTTGTTGGGTGAAATTTTCAGTTTGTTTGTTTGGTTTTGAGATGGAGAGAGGGAGAAGAAATGTTTATTGTGTTGCTAGAGGAGAAACAGAGATGGTATCTGACAGCTGTCTTGGGAGTTGATGTTGGGTTTGCTTTTTAATATGCAGTTTCCCTCGAACTCTGAGAAATCACATGGAAAAAAGGAAGGTGTTTAATTACTCTGTATGTGTGGCTGCCATGGTTTGGAGGTTTGAAAGCACTGGCTCCCATAAGGGAAGCGCACAGGCTTTGCCTGTGGGAATTCCTCAGAGGACTTTTCTTCCGTCCCGTCCTTTCGCGGTGCCAGCGGAATTGCCTCGCGCTGCTGCTCCTTCCCCAGCCGCTGCCATGCGGGGTGGGGGCCAGGGCTGTACTCAGTCCAGGGAGGTGTAAGGCATTTTCTTCTGGATCTTCCCCTACTTAGCATTTTTCTCACAAATTAAGTTCTCACCCGTGCTTTGTGATCCCTGGTCAGTGTGATGGAGCTGGCCCAGGCTTTTGGGAAAGAGAATCCCTGGACTTCTGACCGTGTGTGGAGATGTAATCGCTAAATCCTAACAAATTCCACAGAATTAAGTTACAGCAAGGTGCTTTCTCAGAAGTTACTCTTAAGTGGCAAATGCTGTCATATGATACAGGTTTTGCTGGGTTGGTTTTGGAGTTTTTTTTCTCTTAAATTTGCTCTTTAAGCCTGGCATTACTCTCCATAGTTGTTCAACAAAGTAAAATCACATTCTCTCCCCCAACCTACTGCAGATCCACAATAGGTGCTGTGTCACTTTACCTGTTTCATACAGACATTTTCTTTTTGGTTTTATTTTCATTACTTCAGTGTTTTCTACCCATGTGAAAGCTCACAAAAAGTTCTACTTTTAGTTGTATTTTTATTTGCATGTGGGCAGCAAAATGAAGTAATTCCCAAATATAGTCCTAGCCAAGAGATCCATCTGTTCCCTGCATTTTTAAATGGCAAATTAATCCTTAGCATAGAACTCATCAAATGTCTTCTCTCTATAATTTATGCTGCCTGAGATCACAGAAATTACTTTTTTTTTTTTCCCAGGCCTTACATTTTAAGTAGTCCTTTACTCCAGAACAGCAGCTCCCATTCTGGTTTTACAGAGCTCTCCTGTGATTCCTCCAGTCACTGTTGTCGGTCTAAAAGGGGGCATTAAAAAAAAAGCCTCCAAAATTATTCTTCCCTTCATCTCTTTGGTGTTTCTTTGAAAGGCTGTGGAAGATTCTATTAGAATCTTAGATCAGAAGGAGTATTTTATGATTCTAAGATGTAAGGGAGTAGAAATTCTCTTTGAAAAACACCCTTGATAAATGGATTTATTTTGAATGGAGAGCTAGGATTGCTCTGTCCATTTCCATTTGGATTTCTCTCTTTGGACAATAGTGACCATTTTTAGAAGTACTAAACTTCCATGGCGTTATCTGCCATAAAGGGAATTTCTATATTAAGCTTTGCATGTTCCCAAATTTACTTAAGCGGCATTGTAGCTCAGCTGTGTATCTTGGCATGCCTTCCATTGCAGCTCCCATCCCAGGAACAATTCTGTTTATAGGAGAGGATGCACCATTTCAAAACTGCTCCAAATCAGGAATTTCAACAAATGGTGTTTTGTGTATTGCTAAAAAAACCCAGCGCCTTGGGTTGGGAGGAGGCAGTGCATGCAAATAGTGCCTGGCTTGGTTTTTTTAAGGCAAGGTGTGATGCTTTTCTAAAGCATGAAGACAGAATTAATTCCATGGGGCTGCTTGCGTGATCTTCTGGCAGCTTTATGTTAAAAAGTAACTGCAGTAAGCTGGAGGTGAATCAGTGCTAGGGTTTTTTTTTGTTCTAGCATGTGTCTGAAAAAGGCTTTTCTTCTGAAAGATGCCCAGTGCTCAACACTTAGTCAATGCCAAATGGTTTTAAAATTGTACTTAGAAGTGTTCATTCCCATGAATTCATTTAACGGGGCTCTTAAGGCAAAAGAGGTTACTTTTTGCTCCTTGAGTAAATGCATAGTAGCCTACTTGGATACAGTGGTGGTTGCGTTTTCAATGGCATTTCACTCTTCTGGCTCATAGGCAGCACTTGGAGTAGAGTTTGGTGTTTTTTCCTAGGATGTCAAATAGGTCCCTTCATGAAAGAAGTGCTGTTGTTGTAGGAACTGCCTCTAAATGTTTGGCTTGATGATCATGGAGCTCTCTTCCAGCTTAAATGATTCTGTGTTGCTTTCTTGGTATTTTGGAAAGACTTGGCCACCCATGAGCCAGGAGATCAAATTCCTCAGGGTGTTCCCTCCGTGATTCATGGAATGACCTTGGGCAAAGCCTTGGCCTCTTCATATCTTTCTTTAGTATCTGCAGAGGATGTTAAGACAGCCTCCCATGAACTTGGTACTAAAATACAGCTTTTTTCCAAAGATTTCATTTTCCAAAGATTTCCAAATCTCTGTGGTGTCAGTTACAAAATACTAATTTAGATTGTCAGCAGAGAGGTGGCAAAAGCTCTTCCCTTTAACACAATTACTCTGCTTTTGGCCAGCTTTTGGCTGATCTACACCTGGAGCAGCAGCTCTTCCTCAGGCATGTGCTGGCAGTGCTTGGAATAATTTGGAGCATGGCTGGAGGAGATGGGAATTCTGGGTGGCTGCAGTGGGACTTCTCACGAGGGATCTTGACCCAGGGCTTCGCTCTGTGGAGGTGATGTTAAACAGAGGCTCATCCTGCTCACCCATTCTCACACCCACCCTCTTTCTTCGCTCTTTGCATTGGTGGAAGTTTAATTGTGGGAAAGCAGAGCTGAAGAGCTGCTTTGTACTTCACCCTCAAGGCCTCGATGACTTTTATCTTTCCCAGCGCCGAGCTCCGTCACCGTGGCCGTTTGCTGAGAAAGCATTTCCTCCAGCTTCCCAGGGTTTCTTTTGGAGCATGAGCAGTCCAGCTGTTCCCAGGGAGCATCCATGGTTCAAAGAGGCATTGGCTGGGCAGGCAGGTAACTCCAGCTGCTCCCAAATTCAACGCCAAACCCATCCACATCTGAGCCACCAGCCAGCGTGGGGAGCGCAGGGATTGAGCAGCTTCTTCCCAGCAGTGGGAAGCTGTTGTCAATGCTGAGTCAGCTCTTTGTTCCAGAGATAGGCCAGTGTGTTTGTAAGCAACACTTTTACCCCCAGGTTAGTGTTTTTAATTCTTGGCTGTACGAAGTTCAAGCCCAAGGACAGGGGGACGTAGGTCAAGGAGCGAGGTGGCAACACCGACTGTGGGTTGGGCACAGTGTCCTCAGCCAGACAGCAATTAATGTAAACATACATATTTTTAGCAATTGTAATGGGTTATTTAGTTGCAGGGAAGAATTAAAAGGAGCCCAAGGCTGTCTGGAAACTCTGAGGGCTGCAGGGGAAGGTGGTTCTGGGGGTGGGAGTAGTCTGTCCTTCTGAGCAACATCTCCATCTTGTCCATGATTCATTTCAGACTTTCATCAAAGATCAGGCGTCAGACATAAGGATAATATAACTGACGTAAATATATTTATATATATTTATACATGGCCTGTCACAGAAATGCAAATGGAATGTTAATAAGACACTCACTTGACTTGGGATAAATGTATGGTAAATAGTACCTGGAAGCTGTGTGTTCAAAACCTTGCTGGTCCAAGACTGAAATAAATACAGCAGCAGTGTGTGTTAGTTTGCCACGTAAAGGACATTGAGTTGTCATGGTTGTGTTGCTTTCCCAGGGCCCTTAAACATAATTTAATTTCATTTCTTTGGATTTGGGATTCCAGCCCAGCAGGAGATCATTGTAGTTTCTCTCTGGGCGTGGTAAAGCAGAAGAAGTTAAGGGAAGGAGGATGTCCTTGTTTCATTAGTCTGCAGAATTTAATGATCTCTCTCTAGAGTTGTAAATGCTGGTTTTATCTGTTGCATGCTTTTTGTGGCTGTTTCTGTTTCCGTGCAGCACTGGCCTTTCCCCCCTCTCGGTGGATTGTTGTATCATAGCTGAGTGCTGTTAAATACTGCAGAGTGTGTGACATGCACAAACCAAAGTTCCTTGGGTGGCAAGTTCTCAGTGGCTTGAACGGGTGCCAAGAATGTCACAGAATCACATCCCGGCGAGCTTTGCTCCGGAGGGGCCGAGGCCAGGGTGATGGGCACAGGCTAATTACACTGAGGGAATGTTTAGGTGGCTTTCTCTGCCCTTCCTCTTATATCCATATTTCCAGTGGAAGGCTTTGTTTGCACATGGAGGAGCAGGGTTCAGGTTCTTCGTGGTTTCCCTGTGTGGGCTGAGCCCCTTCAGCGCTCGCCTGCAGTTGGCAAAATGCGGCGACGGCTCGTTTCCTCTTGATCTCTTCATACAAACCAACCTCAGAGGTTGGACTGGGTTTTCTGACATCTTCAACTTCAGGTTGAGCAACTCCTTT